GGTCACAAGAGTGGCTATGACTAAAACATGACATAGATAAAGGTTGCTGTGTCAAACACTACTATATCTGAAGGACATTTAAAAATGTTGTGTGCATGAAGTTCTACCAGGATCTCATAATCCTGAGAGACAGACAAGACAAGAATTATGGAAAAATACTAGCTGTTTATAAATCATGGGCTGTGTGTCAAAATTGAACTCCTTAAAAGAAGTATTTACCAGCAGGGGGCAGCAGGCAGCAGATGGCCAGCTTTCACGATTTCTCTTTTGGTCAATCAAGTTCTCACTAATCAGTTCTTACACCCACTGAAATAGAGCCTGATGATCCTCATTTGATCCTGTCAACATTTCTGATTGATATGTTAACTGTTGGCATAGCATGCTATACATACTATACTTAAACAATTTTAGTAAAACCAAATATATTTATTGTCTTTCTGTCCTCAGACTTCAATAGAACGGCCAATAACTGTCTTCTTTAGGCAACTGAAAGCAGACATGTCTGGTTTAAAGTCTGGTTTCAGTCAGACTAACATAAACATGGTTTCATGCCATGCCACATTAACACCCACTGTGTTTGGAGTTGCACTAATACAGACTTTTTATTTTCCTTCATTTGTTATGCTTATGTCAGTAGTTGTCGTTACTTTTTTTAGTATTACCATCATAGTCTTGTTTGGTCAAAGATTATTATTCACACACACACACACAAACACACAGACAGACGACTCAGTTCAACAAAACAAGTCCTCTCTTCTCCTGCCTTTAAACCAGTGTTGTGTACGGAGATAAAAGTGTTGTTATCTGCTCATAATTCTTACACTTGAAACACTAATAAACACAGATTCCAGGCATTTCACTTAGACTTTTTGCTCTCCTCATTAATTTAAACTTCTAATTAAAATGCAAAGCAGCCTCGTGGTTCTCTGGATTTGGTGCTATACGCTCTTATAGTCACTGACTCCCTATCACCTCCTTTTATCCTGCTCCAGCTCCTCTACACCAACACAACTCATTTTTCTCGCCCTGCTTTTTCCCTCCTGTGATCAACACAGTTTGACCTCTCACTTGGTGTGCACAAAATTTAATGGATTTTTTTAAACAGTCTAATTTAACCAGTTCCCTCTTCATTGCTGTGTTGTACCCAGTGGACCTCATCTTCACTAGAACCTACGCCCTCCACACAGGCACAAAGAAAATTAGTTCATCAGAATTCAGAATGTACTGCTAGCTAATTAAAGGAGTGTTAATTGAGTGTTCAGAAATGGGTACCCCTTCACTACAGAAGGCGCACGGGTACTTGCGTGCATTCACAGCGAGGCACACACACACAAATCGCAGTGACAGCAGTGACAGTAAACCAAGGACGACGTGCTTGGGGAGTTTCATGCCAATCAAACATGGAGAGCAAATCTAGTGCCCATCCTCCCCAAAGAGAATGATTTATAAATGATACAGTTATAAAAAGATGTATATATAAGGATGTTTTAGGATGTTTTAAGACGATAGAAATCCCATGATTTCTAGATCATATCATGGCACACTATGAGCTCAGCCCATGTCTGTGCTGCCATGTTATCCTTTACCAGCCTCACTATCTCATCCTGCTCACTGGAAAGTGTATCGCTGCACAGATAGCCTCTCTCACTGTGTGCATTGTGCTAATGAGGGGTGGCATTTAGAGATGTGCTGCTCTGACACATGGGCGTTGTGTGCCAGGCACTGGGTGATTAAGGACGAAGGTCAACCCATTAATTGCCTCCCTGCCATCTCTGCTCCCTGGCCCATGATCTCTCAGAACTAATGCATGTGTCTGCCTCAGCTTTTATCTAATCTCATTGTAGTTCATTTGTGTGCTTGGTTTGTTTACATTTCTTTCATGTGCAAGTTTTCTGCCTCTTTACTTACTGCCACAGCAATACTAGCCCACATTTCTCTGTTCATTTACTGTAAGCTGTTTCATGTGCTGGTGCGTGCACATGGACTCCTGCTTTCAGTAAAGGGAAAAAAAGCATATTCTTCTATCCCCAGGGGAAATAATTAATCCTTACAAGGTTGTCGCATGTCGAAATGAAGCGAGTGTGAAGCATTTAGCCCAAGAGGCACTGCAGGCTGTCGCCGCACAGGCACCTGTTGTTGTCCCTGCCCTACATTTCATGAGAGAGCACTGAGCAGAGGATAACAACATGCTCCACTGATAGCAAATGAGACACACGGCTGCAGATTCAGGTTTGTGTGTGTGTGTCTGTTTGTCTTATTTTCTGCTCTCATGTGTTAAATTTGCATTCAAGATATGCACTGTAGAGTGTGCACAGGTGCAGGAAACCCCACACCTTATGAGAATCCGATGGCTCACACAAAGAGGGCAGTGCTGTCTCAGAGGGTGTTTATCAGCCAGCACCATCTGTATGCTGCTGCTCATGGCTATGATCTACTGCAGCACAAACCAATAAGTCACAAAGTGTCAGCCTAAAAGAGACTATTTCCTTTAACCTCCATGTCCTAACTTATAGACTTACTGCTCTGGAGGGGAGAGATGTGGAGACCCTGCACATCAAACATTGTGTGTGGATGTGGGTGTGTGTGTGTGTGAGAGACTGAAATTACGCCCCAGGAGGTGGCCAAACTTACTGCAATCAACTTTATCATACATTTTCTGATTCTGGAATCAGAAGCATCCAGAAGCTCATTTGCCTTCTCTCCTCTTCCTCTTCCTCCCCCTCATATTCCTTCTTTATGCCTGTGGGTTTTAATAACTAGAAGCTTTTGGGGAGCTGAGATGGTTTTGTAGGTCTCAAAGGCCTCTAATCCCTGTGGCCTGTGAAGTGTGAAACCCTTTGATGCCAGGTTGGTGTGCCAGAGGCTCTGCCTATTGACAAACAAGGACCAAGCTGGGAAAAAGCGACGCGAGAGGACTCTTTTCTTCCAGAAAAAATACAGGCCAAAGGACAGAAAATATAAACTCATTCAGGGAGAAGGAATAGAATTAGATACCCTTTAATGGATTTCCAGCCTGTTTTTTTTTTCTCATGTGGCAGTAATTAGGTGGAATGATGGGCATATTGCAGCTGGGAGCTCGTAGGGGTGGCAGGGCAGAAGCCCTTGATTTCCCTGAAAGCCAAGTATCTTTCCTCATTTAGATCATCTTATGATCAAAGTTGTTTGTTTTGCCCTCATGTAAAGATCAGAAAAATGATGCCATTCAATTTGCATGTGCACCACCAATGTTACTTAGCATGTTTTTCTCTTTGGAGCAAATTTAAATAGATCTTCTGTCAGTTTTCCTGTCAGAAAAGGGAATGAAGGGAATGCCACTGCTGTCGCCAGGGATGCTGAGCTCTGCCTCAGACAGTATGGGTAGATTTCAGATAGGCAGACTTGGCATTCACTGCCAGTCCTTTTACAGTAGCACTGTGTTCCTTTAGTGCGTTTAAAATTAGTCATGATTTATTTAAAACGATTTAAAAAAAATCTCTTTGAACTGTATTGTTCTTCCAGACACCGTGACTTCAGCAGTTTAGGTGCAAATGTTGTTTCAGGAAAATCAGTGTCTCCTGTCTCAGCTACCGGATTTTAAAACAATTTCTTTTATGATATAGATCTGGAAGATTTAATCATTTTTACAGTTGGAGGTCCATAGGGTTGCTGAAATGAACTAGACAGGTTATCTGTAATGGGAGCAAAAGAAATTAGAACTGTGACTACTTAGCTGTGGAGCCTCTTTAAAGTGATTTTGTGATGGGAATGGAGTGAGTCCCACTCAGAGGCTGCACCTCTGCAGACCTTCTTGGTTCTGCAGGACATTTGCTGACGGCACAGTTATGGCATTTAATTTTCCTTAGCCTTTAGTTATCTTTTACATAAAAGTGACATTTTTGAAGGGGTTGCAAGTCATTTATGGCACCTGATATATTGCTTGTAAATTGAGTTATTTTCCCAGCCCACTGTCATTTTTGTTGCACTGAGCTAAGTAGCCATGAAATTGCCTGAATAATGTCGTTTAAATCCAATCTCATTGCAGCCTCTCACCTCTGCCCAGCCCCCAAACAATGACACATGGTGGGCTTTTTAGAAATTGATTGAAAAGATATTTAGAAGTTTCTTCTTGTAGTTTATAAATGAAGAGTTTGCAAAGACCACAGTTTAAAAGTGTGTAGGGGCAACATTTACATAATGTCACCTACATTAGAATCTTAGTTCATGTAGAAATTGTATTTAACGACCAATAAAAGGGTTAATCAAGACTAATAAATTTAGCAGTGAGCTGATCCTGTCCCTCTCCCACACTTTTTCTTCTCTTTTTTGTGTTTAACATTTTAAAGGAAATTCCATTACTGTGTACTTTGAATTTGGGTGGCCTCTGTTTTTATTCCTGTAATTTCTCAATGTGTTACCTTTGTGGCCAAGGGTGAGACCCAGTAAGAGATGTTACTTACTTCTCAACTGTGCCATTGCAATTACGCAGGCTCTAACCACCTCACCTCCTTTTTGTCTCCCCTTGCCTAGTATCCAAGGCTAACCCAATTCATTGCTAAAGAGAGTCTAAATTAATTTCGCCATGCACTGATTTAACAGCGCCTAAGGTATCAGGCTTTGGCAGAACCAGTTTTTAAAAAGATCCATTTGTCTAGGGATGAACCTCCACAGGAGGTTGTGAAAATGAGATTGAGAGAAGGCTCAGATGGAGGAGGGGAGTGATGGAACATAAACCAGTGTCAGGCCAGGTCCGCAATCTCTCTACAGTTTTGTGTGATTTCATTCACCTGCTGTTTGACTAAGAGACAATGATATATTTCTTGCTCTGCTTCAGGAGTAGTCGCTCTGTGCCAGGTTTCTTTGTGGCAGGAAGATAGGTGTGATTGCAATTGTTTGATTGATCTGCTCCTAGATATCCCTGGTAATTAAATCTGGACTGATACCTTGTTGTTCTGCTTCCACAGACCTGTGTTTTGACTTACTCCGTCCTTCAACTCACATTTTGTTCCTTTTTTGTCTTGCAGGTGACCTTGTGCTGCCCACACAGTCCCCACGCTACCCCACTGCAGCAGAACTTGATGCTTATGCCCAGAAGACAGCCAACAACCCTCTGACCATCAAGATCTTTCCCACAAACATCAGGGTTCCCCAGCACAGGCACCTTAACCGAACTGTGAATGGATACGACACCACAGGGCATCGCTACGCTCCCTACCCACATATCCACACAGGGGGCTACCAAGGGCTGCTGGCTATTATCAAAACCTCTTCATCTTCATCATCGTCAGCTCCTACCTTTGTTCCTTCAAAAGGTGTTCTCAAGAATGCTGAAGGCAGACGGACTAAACTCTCTCCAGCCCACATAGCTATCGCACCATACCCACCTCCTAATAATAGCACTTTAGCCAGTGGTCACGGCCAAATGTTGTACCATGTTGCCCCCTCAAAGCCTCCAGAAGGTCCAGGACTTTCTGTTCCCCCAAATGTCACTGTAGCTGGCTCAGTCATACCCGTAACCGTGGGCCGTGGCCTTGCTCTGCCTCCACAGTCCAACCTCCCCTCTATCCAGAGCATCATCTACCAGATTAATCAGCATTGCCAGGCCCAGGCTCTGCAGCAGGCTTGTCATGGGGCGGTGACAGCACCATCAAATTCCAGCCCATCTAAGCAGGGAACAACAACTGTCTTAGGGGTCTCTTCTAGCTCCTCAGGTGGAGGCTACGTGGTAGGCATGGGCCCCCAGGCTAACATGGTGTACACAGGGCAAGCTCTACCAACTCAAAACACTGAGACAATGAAGACTGGTGTCTACACAGAAGGTATGGACTACATCCTCTGGCAGAAACAACAGCAACATCAACAGCAGCAGCAGCAGGCTGTGCTCCGCATGTACAGTGGAGGCAGTGGAGGAGGAGCCGCTAATAGCAAATCTCCTGAAACTTGTATTCCAGGGGGAGGAATAATGACTGCCCAAATGTCCTCCTCCTCATCCAGACCTTATCACCTGTCAGCTAGTGCCAGTGGAGGAGGCGGGCTGGAAAAAGTCAGCTCTTCACCTTTGAACTGTGTGGGTATGCATGGGAATTTCTCAGTGGGTCAGTACTTTGCCCCGCCGTGGAACAGCGTGCTGGTGACACCAGACAGTGACTGCTACAACCCCCAGGAGCTTTTGGGCACCTCCACGGGAGGCCCAGCCACAGGTCATCGAGAAATGGGCTACCCTCATCATCATCACCACTACCACCATCACAACGACCCTGCCATAGACAGCAGTGGAGGTCTGTGCTGCAGTTTTCCCAGCAAGAGCTTGTGCAACACGTCAGTACTGAGCAGCAGCCTGCAGTCCCTGGAGTACCTGATCAACGACATTCACCCACCCTGCATCAAGGAGCAGATGCTTGGCAAAGGCTACGAGACTGTGTCTGTGCCACGTCTGTTAGACCACCAGCATGCACACATCCGCCTCCCTATATACAGATAGAGGGGGAGGAAAATGAAGGAGTAGAAAAAGAAGAGGAGAAAGGAGGTGGAGGAAAGAAATCAAGAATTTGTGGATTAGTGAAGTAAATCAAAGTTAGAAAAACAATTTTCTTCTTTTTGGGTACAGAATCGTGGGAGCTTAGACAAGCGCAGTTATACTCTGTGACCTTATGTTTGGTTGTTTTTGAGACAGACTGTGGGAATCATAAATACAAAAAGTGATAATGATTACCAGAGAGGAGGAGAAAGAAGGGATTTCAAGATTCTCCAGATGTTCCACTGTGTGGTTTGCCAACAGGAATTCTGGATTAATTCATTTTTTTCTCATATTTGTGTTCTTGTTTTTTTTTTTCTTCTCTTTTTGTTTTACTTGCCTGGACTTCATTCAGAATCATAGCTTGACATGAAGTGTGTCCGCCACTTGTATCCCCCCATTCCAACTACAAATGATGAAGCTACTGTGTAGGTTGTCACTGAAATGGTCTTAAAAAGGGCCAGAACTTTAGGGCTGCTCAACATGTGAAAATAATTCTGCAACAGTAAATGGCATAACACACACACACAGACAGAAACACAAATTGTTGAAACAGTGAAATCACAGGCAGTACCTGGGTGTTATGTACAAGCATCTTAAGGTGGAATTTAACCAAGTTAGTACGATATTTGATTTTATTGCTGTTATAATTGATACATAAATTGCACTGCTTGAATCTTGTTAACATTGAAGTTTGGAATTGGGTAGTTTTGAAAATATTTAAGAAACTTGAAAAAACTTGAACCTATTTTTGTTTGTTGTTTTATATATTTGTAGGGTATATTATATGCATTGGCTGCTATGGGGGAAAGTGTTTAAAATGCTTTTATTAGTTTTAGTTTTTTATTATTATTGCTTTTGTCATGACTTAACAATTCCTCCTCAAGCTGATGAGCAGTATGTACGGTCCTGCTGTGAGACATTGTCACTGAGTTGGTTCTGTAAGAACCTGGTCAGAATTCTGTTCTTACCAACACTGGATTCTACAATAAATCTTGGGGAAAAAAGTATTTAAAGATGAATAATGTCACCGAAACGTACAAAAAGAAATGTTACAATGAAGAATGTGATTGGAGTGGTTATGAGCATAACCTTACATGTATGTTAATGTAGTGTGTGGCTGAGTGCATGTGTGCATTTTAGTTTGTTTCTCAAAATCCTCAGACTTTTTAAAATGTTTTCCTACTTTATTTTTTCCCCATCAAGACTTCAGCAGATTCAACAGACCCATGAACGTCATGTTTGAGTTAATGTATAGGTGGTTGTTCATTGGAGGCTTCGGATTTCACTGGAGCTACAAGAAAATCACCCTTTTATATAATAACTTGTGAAAGTAGCCGGTCGTCTGTTGTCACAATGACAGACAGACAGACAGACAGAGAGAGAGAGAGAGAGAGAGAGGCACAATGAAATCCTATTCTGGGTGGAGGGTGGAAGGTTCTTCTCTGCAAACAAAAACAAAATTGAAACAATCATGCCCTGTCCTCTGGTGTCAGATGAAACAAGACAACGCTCAGTGCCACTCCTTGTCCGTTTTAGCCCGAGGGTGGGATGCATTTAGCCTGGGCCAGTTTTAACTTGACGATTCAGAGCAGTAAAATATTTGTAATGACTGTGAGATTCCCTTGAATGTACTGCACTTAAATTACTGCAATGTTTCATCGCCTTGTGGGACTCAAGTGAAAGAGGAAAAATTGGATCAGTGCAGCAGTCTTGTGGTCTAAAATTAGCATTTCTTTTGTCAGTTAGACTTCAAGGGTAAATTGAATTTATTAACTGGAAAGAAAGAAGGGGAGGGGAGTTATTGTTGGGAAAAACTGGCATCAGTCTAGATTTATGAAGTGCAATTATTATGACTGTATTAACATTTTTTCTCTGAGCTTACACCAAAAAAAATGTAAAGTACAGTTGTTAACACATTCCCAATGTACCACATCCCTTATTCCTATTCTTTTTCTTGTTTTGAGCTGTAAAATAAATTTCTTTAAGAATATATTCAGAAGCCATTTCATGGCATGGAAGTCTGTCATTATTTTTAACACATTCCATGAAAAAAATGGGAAAATTGGGATGAAATTTCTACCTAGGTCACGTGTGAAGTTCATGACATAAAAATTTCATGACAAAAAATTTGACTAAAGTGTTTAGACTTTAGTCAAATATAAAAGGTTTGTTAGCATTTGAGTAAAATTTAAAAAAAGAAAAGGGAGGAGTCATGTAAAAACCCATTTCCAGAATAGAAATTAAACTTTTGACAATGCAATAAAAAGTGATATCTGTAATTTAGTAATTTATTTAGTAATTTATTTATGAACCTTTATTTATCGGTTAAGGGATTAAAAACCTAAAATCTAGTTTTCCAGCCTAGCTATATTTGTTCAACTTAACCTAATTAAGAAAAGACTTACAGCACCCTTTTTATAGATGAAAAAAAGCAAGTAACACAATGGGCCGTGTTCATTTTAATTATACTTCAGGATGCAAGGTCATTTGGTTTTGGTGTATCAAATTCTTTAGTTGCTCAATAATCAGTTGTCACAGCTGATTCTCTTCTCCATGACGTTCTAGGTATTTACTATAGAGAATGATTTAGACTGCAGACAGGCTTGTCGGGCACTCTTTATAAAGTCAACCGTCTGTTAATTGTGTAGAATGACAAAGAATTGCTTCAGTGGGACGATTAACCGATACGCGTCAATACGTGGACAAGCATAGGCAATTTGTGAGTGCATCGGTAAAACGATTGTAAATGGGTGCATTTTTTAAATTGAGCCGAATAATAAATGGGTCCCCTTCTCGACCCCCAAAATAGGGAAGTTCACAAATGAAGATACAAACATTATTTCCAATTTTTTTATCAAGTGATTTCTGCATTTCTTTATACACCAAAAAAGATTTTACTTCTAGACACTTTTACTCTGACTGAATAGGATGTAAGTTGATCTAAGAGAGTATGTATTATCTACTCACCTGTCAATGATGAATCAAAGGTTTGGCAATATTACGGATTTTATAGGGGAAAATGAGAACTTGTAAAGTCAGACGGAATTGGCAAAATATGTCCTGCTGCTGTACACTACACAGGGAGAACCACAAACCTTGATAGTCACCTGAATCGACGGTCCGGTTTGATCGTGGAAGCCTCAGCCTGTAAACAGCCGTGGAGTCAGATGTGGCGACAACGTCTACGATCGGTGAGCGACGTATTGAAAGCTTTTAACATGCTGTGCTGGCTAACAGCTCCCCTCCTGCAAAGACATTAACTCATGCCACAGCCTTTTTCATTTGTAAAGATATCCAGCCTCATAGTATTGCACATTCTCACAACAGCTAAGCTACTGTTATAACTTTCAAAGAGAGACTGTTTTTTTTTTAGGCGGGGTTGTTTTTGTTTTTTTACATCAGCTAATGACTGCTGAATCCAGTTCACTTATATTTATAAGCAGCTATGGGAGATCACTTTGTGAGATGGTCAATTATTGCCTTTTCTTAATACAAAGATGTTTTATTCATTGATTAATTATAAAACTCATCAAATGGTGCATCAGGATTAAATTGTGACATATCATGTCACACTGAATTGCTCTTTGTTGAGTTAGATTTTGTTGAATTGCAGTGCTTTGTGATTGTGTTGTGAATCGTGTCCTATCCCATCAGTAGGTGCATCTTAAATGCACTGGATTTTGTACAGTGTATCGAGCGTGCGTATTGGCCTTATACCAGGGATGCCTAGCCCTAATTGCATTAGTTGGTCATTTAATATTAGTGTACTGAATCTCTTGTCCCTCTCACAAAATAAACCAGACCTTGGAATCTGAGAATTATTTGGTTGTCTTTCCTGGACTCGGCCCAGGACAAACTTTTTTTTAAATAGTCTTTCATTGTTACCCCTTTATTTAATACAATTTTGTGCAGTGCTCAACTGTGTTAGTCCAGAATCAGGTGGGAATTTCTCATGCAGTCCATTTAAAAGCTTTAAATCAAGCACGTTTAATCACTGTTTTAATATTTCACTATATTAGTAGCACTAAATGCTGACAAGCCTCAATTTTTTTATTAATAATTGCTGAGAAATATTTGTGTTTTACCTGCAAACTGAAAGGGAATAAGCTCTACAGCAGGGGTCACCAACCTTTTTAAAACTGAGAGCTACACCATATTACCAAAGGTATTGGCTCACCTGCCTTGACTCATACTATGAACTGAAGTGCCATCCCATTCCTAACCCAGAGTTCAGTATGATGTCGGTCCACCTTTTGCAGCTATTACAGCTTCAACTCTTCTGGGAAGACTGTCCACAAGGTTGAGGAGAGTGTTTATAGGAATTTTTGACCATTCTTCCAAAAGCGCATTGGTGAGGTCACACACTGATGTTGGTCGAGAAGGCCTGGCTCTCCGTCTCCGCTCTAATTCATCCCAAAGGTGTTCTATCGGGTTCAGGTCAGGACTCATGTTGGAAGAGGAAGGGGCCCGCTCCAAACTGTTCCCACAAGGTTGGGAGCATGGAATTTTTTTTTTTCAGAAGATGGGCTTGGCCCCTTAGTTCCAGTGAAAGGAACTTTGAATGCTTCAGGATACCAAAACATTTTGGACAATTCCAAAAAAGCTGTAATAGCTGCAAAAGGTGGACCGACATCATATTGATCCATTAGGAATAGGATGGCACTTCAGTTCATACTATGAGTCAAGGCAGGTGAGCGAATACTTTTGGTAATATAGTGTACTTCAAGGGTACTCAGTAATACAGAGAGCTAGTTGTTTGATACAGACTTCTAGAACAATGTAATAATAATCAGTTCTGGGACATACAACAGTAGACACTCTTCTTACCATCATTGTTGGACCTTTTTGAATATCATTGTAAGTTTAACTGATTTAAAAAGCACAGTCACAGTACAAATTTTCACCCTATTGTTGACTAGTTTTATATTCAGAACATACCCCATGGGCACCTGAGGTAGTACACGGTGGCTACCAGGTGCCTCTCGACACCATGTAGATAATGAATTAATGAATTTGGTTTTTAATTGTCAGATTATTCTTTAACAAAGTTCAGCACATAGTATCTTTAAATGCAATGAGTTTCAGAATTCTCTTTTTATTTCTAGCTTAGTATATTATCTTCCATTAGTGTCCGCCCAGAAAATGTCCCTATTTTAAGTCATAACAGTGTAGGAATCCATTTTTGATATTATTTCTGATTTCTTTTGTAATGATTCATTTTCCCTATAAACTAATCCTTCAAACACATTATCAAACTTGAGACTCTAGTTTTTACTCCCTTTTATGGAACTTTCTGAAAATTAGATTTATACAAATCACTCCTTGTGATCTATAGACATTTCCCCTAAAGCTAATCCTTTCTTAATTATAACTATGAGCCTTATTTTCTTTTTTCAAAGTAATGGTAATACAGGACATGCCACTGTCCTTGAGGGCTGACAAAAGATTTCAGCCTAGAAAAAGAAAATACTAAACCCCCTAGCTCACAGTAAGCCTCCTTAACATTCCAGTGAAAATTCCTCATGTTGTAGTCTGATTCCAGCATATTTTTTGTCTTGTAGAAATATTTTGACAGATTTACAGATACATCCAGTCCCTAAATCCCCTCCGTTTGTCTTCTGCATCCACGCATTGAAGAGATGGCACTGGAGGCAGAGGAGTTTCTGGTGTCTGGTCTTTCTCACCAGTGGACGTCTCAGACACCAGGCTGCTTTGCTAATG